TTTGGAACATTAAACATGTTCTGGAATATTCTTTAACTGTAGTGGGTCGGATCCATGCGTATACAACTGGGACATGAAGAGATGCAGGAACTGGCTCGTGTGATTATGGCAGGTGAGAAGCCTCACCACCCACCGACACCTGCACACGGGAGACCCAAGAAAGCCAGCGGTTTAACCCAGTCTGCTTCTGAAAGCCTGAGAACCAGGAGGACTGGAGGTATAAATTGTAGTCCAAGGGAACCGCTACCACTGGCTTCCCAGCTCAAGTGGAAGTCGGGGGAAATGTCCCCTTCCTTCGCCATTGTGTTCTCTTCAACCTCTCAACACGCTCCGTGACTCCCACCGTCACTGAGCAGTGATGTACCAGTCCACTGACTGAGCTGCCAGTCTTGCCTGGAGATCCCTCACAACATGCCCAGAGAGTGAAGTTTTCTGTCTTGCTAGATTGCTCCTTTCCTCTGGCTGTCCATAACGGGATGCTGCTGGGACCTTTCTCCTCTTCCTTGTAGCTTTAATTTGAATTTGCCTGATCAATGATTAGTTGAGTATATAGCAGTTGGCCATTTGTCTGTCATCTCTGGAGAAATTCCAGTTTGCCCCTTTTGCATATTTTGAATTGGATTATTTGTATCCTCGCTGTAGACTTGTTAGAGTTCCTTCCGTGTTCTGGATATTAAGCCCTTACAAGTCTTTGCACCTCATCTTGTAGTGGTCTCTTCACTCTAATTAATATTCCCTTTGCTCCAAAGCATTTTGTTTTGCTGTAATCCTATTTGTCTATTTTTGCTTTTGTTGCCTGCACTTTTGGGATCATATAAAAAGGTCACTGCCCCGACCAACATCATGAGCTTTTGTTGTTTGCTTCTAGTAGTTTTATATTTTCAGATGTTATTGAGTTTATTTTGTTGATGCTGAGAAATAAGGATTTAATTTCACTTTTTTCACATTTCCTAAGAGTATAAAAGCTAGCTTTTTTATTGTCCTATGACTGACATTTCTGGGACCATTTTTCTTGATTTTGGGTAATATTTTGCCATGCCTTTTTAACATAGTAATTAATTGGATATCAGACATGGGAATTTCATTTTGTTCGGTGCTAGACTTTGTCACATTTCTGCAGTGAGTGTTAGTTTGGTTCTTGCACACTCGGTATCAGTCTGACCATTTCCAGACCTGCTTTCTAGCTTCGCATGGTGGGTCCAGAGCAACCTTTATTCTAGCACCCACTAGCAGTGCCTTTCGAAGTTGCTACCTTGTGCCCCATCTCTTCTATATTGGCTGCCAGGAACACAAAGTAGTGTCTGTAGTGCTGTGGGACTCCCAGAAACTGGCCTGCTGATTCCTTGGGATTCTCCTCCACCCCAGCCTCATGGGACTTCACCTCATGCAGGTGCATGGTATGTATTTAGCCAGCTTTTTTCTTTTTTTGTAGCCCAGGTGAACACAGGACTTCACACATGCTAAGCGCACCCTCCACCCCTGAGTTACACCACCAACCCCTGCCTAAATCTTCCGGCTCTAATCTCTTTCTTCTGCTGTCATTCAGTGTTAGCTCGGGGCTCCCTCTGAGCACATGAGCTTCTTACAGACACCACTGCTGGATGTAGTGGCGCGCGCCTGTAATCCCAGCACTCAGAAAGCTGAGGCAGGAGGATCACCACAAAGTTGAGGCCAGCTCGGGCTACATAGTGAGTTCAAGGCCAGCCTAGGATATGTAGCAAGACCTTCTTTAAAAAAAGGAAGAAAGGACCTCTAAACTGAGGCAGTCATGGGCTTTTTTTTTTTCCCTAAAATTAGGTACTGCTTGCTTTCTAATGTCTGGAATATTTTTGTCTATATTTTTGACTAGTTTTATAGCAGTTTACAACGAGAGGGCTATTTCTGCAGCTCTAATTCCTCCGTAGGTAGAAGCAGAAGTCTTCTTGAGCCAGTTCTTCAGCGGGGAACAACTGTTGGGAGGCTATGTCCCAAGAGAAAGGGCCCTGAGACAACCTGACAAGGACGTAAGGGTAATAATTACCCTGGTCCCGACACCGACACTTCAGGATCTGAAGCACCAGGAGGGCTGACTTCTCTTACAGCCGTGGGGCAGGGTCAAACGCGGCGCAGGCTCAGGCGTGGCTCTACCTGAGGGTCTGCTGGGCTCACAGCCCCACCTGGCGGTCATCTCGCCAGTCCCAGCGGACCCCTGAAGTGGCGTACGGTGGCTGGCAGCACTGGCACAGTGCTCTTCGTCCGGGAGGCAGAGCTCTGATAGGATGGAAGACCAACGGCCTCCTCCTCCGTGACAGGCCAAGGAAGACAGTGCCGCACGAGCCCTCCCTCCCCTTTGCCAATCCTAGAGATTGAACTGAGAGCCCTCACGCTGAGCTGCATCCCCAGCCCTTTCTGAAAGCTTAATAAGTCACTGAGTTGCCTGGGCTGGGTTCCAGCTCGAGACGTTCCTGCCCCAGCCTACCAGGGTGAGTGCCACGGGGCCCAGCCTTCCATGTTGCATTTGAAGATCTAAAGAATGGGGCTAGGGGCCTCATTGTGCCATTTACTTCAGCAGCCTGGCTAAAACCCGAGGGACCCTGGAGAAAGGCAGACTACTGCAGTAGTGGTTAACAGGTTAACGGTATCTGCTGTCCCAAATGTGCTGTGTGTGTCAGAGAAGGTAAACAAAGCCCCAGAACATGGTAGTTTTGACCCGGGAAATGCATTCTTTTTCACCTCTGTGAGAAAGGAAGACCAGCCGGGTGTGATGGCGCACACCTGTAATCCCAGCACTTGGGAGGCTGAGGCAGGAAGATTGCTGAGCGTTTGAGGTCAGCCACACACAAACCCTGTGGGGATTCGGCAACCTGGCGTGGCGCGGTGCCTACGAATCCAGGGGTCTGGAGCACATCGGCACACCCCTCCAAGGTAAAGGGAAACTGCATCTCGCCTGCATCTCATGACTTAAGGAGCGGCGCAGAGCCTGGCAAACCTCCCTGGGGTCTCTGGGGAGCGCATCCCACACGGGAATACTCTGGGGACCCAGGCATCAGGTGCCGGCTCCACGTGGGGCCAGACTCCGTCGCAAGTCCAGGCTGTGGCAGAAGTGGCCCTGTGGTTGGTTCGTGATGCCATCGTCCATCAGTGCTACCAGCGGCGGGAAAAGGCCACACATTGTTCACGGCAAGCCCCGGCGGGAAGACAACGGATGGATCTTAGTTCTGGAGCACAAGAAACCACAGCACCAGAAATGCCTACTATAGCCTGGGTTCTGCAGACTCAGAGCTACAGCAAGTCTGCCTGTCTGACTTCCCCAGGACCGGGGACCGAGCCAAGGGCCTTAGGACACTCGGCACGAGCTGCACCAGAGCCGCATCCCCAGCCCTCTTTGAAGCAGAGTCTTGCTTAGTTGCCCAGGGTGGACTTGAATTTGTGATTCTCCTGCTTAGCCTCCTGAGCAGCTGGGGTCCAAGGCATGCCCTGGTTTAAAACGTCTCCCAGGAAGAGAACCATCAGAATCCCGAGGACGCATTCCAGCACTTGACACAGTGCCTGTGGCTTGTGGCCCAGTCCCTCGCTCAGGACCGAGGCACTGAGGACACAGACAGCTGGCAGCTCTCCAGGAAGCGCCATTGCCTGAAGTCCACCCCTCGCCCAAGGCCATGCCCCTTTCTCAGTCAAGCAGGGGTAAGGAGGCCAGCTCACGTGCCCTATGGCGGTGCAGCTGCAGAGCCAGCCTAGCCCGAGCTTCCTGTGAAATCAGCTGAGGACTCTGATCCAACAGCGTCAGCACAGCTGCTCTCTGTAGCTAAACCTGCTCTTCTGCTCCCTACAGGTGCAGACCCAGTACTCCCTTGATGAACTTCGGGTACAACCTATTTTTGCTAAGAACTCAACCTACAAGTATTTCAACACATTAGTTGAATGAAATATGCCTGTTGCGTTATTTCAGAGAGCGTCATGACAGCAGTAATACTGAAAAGTGCTGTTAAGAAAGGCTTCTGAGCTCGGCCTGCAATCCTAGCACTCAGGTGACTGAGGCAAGAAGATTGCCGCAAGTTCGAGGCCACCCTCGGCTACATAGTGAGTTCAAGGCCAGCCTGGACTACATAGCAAGGCCCTGTCTGAAAAACAAAAACAAGAAAGCCTTCCATTTCAAAACAGTAGGGATAGGGACAGGAGTCGCTGAAATGGCAAATTTCAAACAGTACCATGCTATGGGAGTTGGTTGTGATCACGATTATCAGTGCACTACCGATGACCTCTCCTTAGCTGGGCTGGCTTGTGATGAATGAGCTCAAACAGGCAGAAACCAGTCCCTCTGCGTTGCTGGTTAAGGACAGCAAAGGAAGCAGTGGTGTCATCTTTATCTCCCTGAAGCACAGGACCTCATTGTCTGAGTGACCCTGGCACAACACACGTCAGTGGTGGACCTTGGGCTTACACAAAGCTAGGTCTCTCCTCCACTTACAAACCTCTGTTCCACAGTAATCTAATGACCTCTGTTCTAACCTTGCCTCAAACTCGTGATTCTCCAGCCTCGGCCTCCTGGAGTACTGGGATTACAGGCATTGCCACTGTATCCAGCTACCAGTTCCCCTTCTAAGCTTCCTTTATCTCAGGTTCATTTTTTCTATCACTTGCCCTAGGCCTCACTCAGATCTCCTTAGAGAAGGAGAGCCCACTGGTGACTTTATCAAAATAGAGAAAGTTTTAAGACCAACAACAATCAGCCTTCTGAGAGTAATCTGCTCACAGCAGCAACGAGCTACACAAAACCAACATATTCTCCCGCTCCCTCCTTTTTAGCAGCAAACTTCAGTGGCTCAGAAGATACACACGTTAATGTTGTAGTGCCACTCTACTCAAGACAAGTAAATAACAGCTTAAAAAAAAAAAAAAAAAGGACTTTTATTTCTGCTTGAGATACAAATGTTGAGTTTGGACGATGAGATGGAGCCACGTCCTTGAGACAGTGTCTGTCTCCTCCCGTTCCAGTGGATTCCGATGGAGGAAGCAGCTAAGAGGTGTGCAGACTGTCTGAATCCACTGACATACAGCCTGTCGAGTCCAGCCCGGAACTTCCTGAGCACATCCGCCCCAATGAAGCCGGGCTGATGACTGTCGCAGATGGAGGTGGCCAAGAGGGAGGTCCCAACCTCACATGCAGTTCGGGCAGATGTCTCCACTCGCGCTCCAGACTTTCAAACGATCAGAGGGGAGTGCAGTCAGGTGCTGTCCCACTCTTGCTCCATGGCTGCTCTGCTTCTGCTTTCTGGTCTCAGAGAACAGGTTCAGACTGTCTGGGAGCCGGAGGAGGCAACCCCCTTGGCAGCCTTCTTGGCTAACCAGGCCTTGTATCTTTTGATCTTGGGATTCTCAAAGTTCACCACAGACATAGGAACTCTCACAGTGTCAAGCCCATTTACCTGAACAGAAAACAAGCAGCCTTAGGGATCAGGCAGGTTGTAGCTAACAGCCTTGATCTCAGTGCTGCATGCTGATTTCTCTCCCAGTCAGAAAAAGGGCACAAGTACATGACACACTCACCGTCACTTCACACCAGTACTCGCCCAACTGTGTGATCGGCTCCTCCGGTAACTTCAGGGCATGCGGGGCCGCTACGACACCAAGCTGCAAAACATCAGCCAAGTGAACTCTCCTGGCTGCCACTCTGGGCCAGCAAATACACAGGGTTCTACAGTTTCCCCAGACAGGGATGAATAAAACTCCAGCCGACCCCATGGGAAGGTACAGACTTCCACAGGTGGCAGCAGAAAAAACTGGCCCTAGTTTCTCAGAAAGAGAAGTAGTCTCATAAAGAGAAAGGGGACTTAAGACCAAAACTCACTTCATCCACAAAAGTAACAATTCGCCAGTGAGTCTCATGATCTCCTCCTGGCTTTCTCTAGTCAGAGAAAATAAATGGAAATCTCTATCCAGACAGTCAGCCCCTTAGCGTCTTCCCTGGCAAGGCTTCCACTCTCAGGGGTATGGTGATATTTTGTAAAAAACTCACATCCTTGAAGAAGTGACGAGCAACTATTTCAGGGTTCAACTCCCATTCAACATCGTCCCTCATTCCTACTTCCAGATGACAGCTTCTCAGAAACTTTACTGTCTGAAAGGAATTACAAAGAGGGGCTGGGTTAGCTGGAGTCAGAGGAGAGGAAAAGAATTCCAAGCACTGAGAGTTGCGTCAAAGGGCCTAACTCCCGCCTCACAGGCAAGACAGGAGAGAAAATGAATGGGAAAGAGAACATTCTGTCTCAAGGCTGACACAGCGGAGACGTTAGCAATACCTGGTAGCGACATGTCACCTGTATCTTATTCCTAAGCAAAGAGAAAGTGGGAACCTCAGGTATATGTCAGGATGAAATGCCTTTCGTAGACTATTTTAACCCAATTCTGGCCCTTTAATTCTATATCACGTTAATGGCTCTTCTCTAATTACAGAATGGAATGATATTCATTAGTTAAAATCTCAAGATGTTTTACCTGTCTTGTCTCAATACCCTATTTGGCCCCAAGTTTCCTAATGTACTGTACAAATTCTGCTTTAACCAACTTGGTCTTTTTATGTTTAAACATGTCTTAAACTTCTACTTATATTTATTTCCCCTTATGAACACTTTTTCTATTCTCTTGACTTAAAGCCTACAAACCTCAGGAGGCGTAATTTAATCCTACCTGGAAACCCACCCCAAACCCCATTATGATTCATGTAACTCTTCCAATTTACTGCCTTTGGTTTACTGATTATTTTCCCATGTGTGTATGTTATCCCAAACCTGTCTGTAAGTATCCTGGAAGGTAGAACCCTCACCTCACACTTTTTCCATGGCTCCCCTAATGCCTAGACTGGGGACTCTAGCCATAGAGCATTTTACTCAACGGTTCATGATTTCCCAAGAAGTGTCCACACCAGTTATGTGAGGCAGTCACAATACTTTTTTCTCCTATCCTTGTGTGTACAATTACAAGACTTCAAAGAAATTGGAAACTCTCAGAAAAGGCTGGTGATTCTAATCTCTTTATTTACTGGTTTGTAACTCATGTTTCTACTTACCGCCTCACCTGCCTTGGTCTGTATCTTCTCTAATTTTCCTTTTTGTCTCAGCTAGAAAAGAGTGAAAGATGAAAATAAGTAAAAGAAAAACATGCCTGTGTTAAGTAATGTCAAACTCTTACCGTGGTAGCCATGGGCTGGGATTTTGGATTTCTCATTTTTAAATTAAATCTCAAAGTGAAGGAAGTTGCTAGAAGTAGCCTTAAAGTTTTATTTCTCCAAGACTTTCCCTTTGAGCTTACCAATTTCTCCTCTTCAAACAGCTTCCTGTTTTCGGGAGATGCATAAACAGCCAGTCCCTGAGGAAGGAGTTTGTTCCGACCCTCGGATTTCGTCACTGAGACCAGGTCACCCCGGACTCCAAGTTCTGGCAATGAGAACAAGAGAGACACAGAGACCACGGGTTTGATTTCCAGGACCACCAAAGGTGGAGATGATCAAAGAGATGAGCACTACTTACTTTCCCAGTGTTTATTCTTCCTACGATGTTAATTCATATTCATTAGGAACACCACCACGGACACTGCTAATTAGGCTCTCTGGACCCCATAGAGAAATTTAGTACTCCCTATATAGAACAATTAGTTGTCCGATCAGAGGATTTCACTTGACACAAAATGTCAAGACCCCTACCTCTAGTTAACTGTGTTGCAGCATTAACGTTTTACTTTTCTGTGTAGGAAGCCAATGCCACCATCACAGTGTTTTTAATGGCCTTCTTTCCGTATAGAGAGCATCGCCTCCACAAAGTAGAGAAAGCGAGGGCAAACAGATGGAGGGCGGTGGCAGGAGAAAACTGATACTGAACAGAAGCACCCTGAGATGCAGCGCCTCAGGCCAGGCCTTACCCGCCACAGACTGCGTGAGGATGAGCTCCAGGTTTGTTTCGGGCCGGTGTTTCGTGTCCTCCACCAGCCTGTAGACCCGGTGTCGCCGGCGCAGGCGCGGCTTCCCTCCCTCCCCGGCTAGCGGCACCTTCCACCAGCGCTCTACGATGACCGTGCCCTGTAGCAGAGAGGCGGAGGTAAGCGAGTCCCACCGCTCTCTCTCCCGCCATGGCCGCCGGCACCCCAAGGAAAGACCAGGCCCCTCCCGGTCTCAACGCTCCGGCACAAACGGCCTCACCAAGGCCAAGGATCCCAAACCCGAAGCCGGCCCTCACCCGATGGTGAGAGAGACTGAAGTCGCGCCCCAGGCTCCCTTCAAGTCGCGACCAGAGCAGCTCCCTGACGCCTCCTCGCAGCAGAGTCCGGCCGGGGGCCGCAAA